GATATGGCGGATCGCGTTGAATAGTTAGATGACCTTTTCCAAAAGACTTCAAGAAGTCGGGGTTGAAATCAATACTACCAGGGCCTTCCTCGAAAGAGAAACTGGAGTATCTGAACATTGGACTACTCGAGAAGGAATACAACCCTTAACTAAAAAGATAATAGATGCGATCCAACTATCGCTCTTCCTACCAACAGGAAGGAACTTCGTAGATTCATTTGACAATGAACTACCAGGCGCTGCTCCAAGACAGCAGACGGAGTAACCACGTTCTGAAACAGAGCGTGGGTTACCCAGTATCCTGACCGGTTGTCATGGAAGAGAACGTGAGTTCCGTGCAGAGGTCGAGAAGACCTCCGTGATGAGATCTGGACTTCGTGCAAGTCTCCGCGCGTCAATCGTGACAAGACTCACCACATCCGTTTCAAAGCAAACCGGAAATACATTAAGGAACGTTGCCAACGACTTGTCCAGAAAAACACCGATAAGGAGAACACGAACGTCGTCCCTCATCAACACATGTCAACGATACTATGATGTTCATCAGTATCGAACGTTAGTAAACGGTCAGCCAACGCACAAGGTCCTCTACCACACAGACCGAGTCAATAACAATGGCACTGTACGGCTCCGACATACTCCGCCAGTAGCGGCACAGTCTACCAGACTTGGAACATAAGGTATTTACACCATACAAGGCCTGATCCCTTGTAGGATTGCCATCGGTCGACGCACATGTCTACATCCAATCTCCGGAGAGTGCCCCCCACTTTAATTCATATGTTCTCCTTGTCCGACTGATGTCATGCCTTCCGTGACCCTTGTCAGGGGCGAATGCAATACACGGACTAGCCTTATTCGCGATCGATATAGGGTTTGAGTTCGACTCATGGCTGAGTCTCTCGTGAATAGTCATTGAGACAGGGTTCTCAATGACCGCTCTAGTCATACTAGGTTGATGATGAAACATCGCTCTAGATATTTAGCCAGCGTGGAGTACTTCACGCTACTAGATAAATGCTAGACGAACTTCCACGCGTTCCGTTTTTGGATCGTGGAGTGAGTAGGAGATTGCTACCGCAACCTACTCTATCACACTTTATAGTCTCCCGCGGGAGTTCAGATCTACGATCCTTTGGTTGTGGATCTCTCTCGTTGATTAGTTTTCATAGCTTTCTAATCCTCTCATAACTTTCATTCTCTCAAACTCAAAACACTCGAAAGATCTTTACACTAGCTTTTAGCGTAGTGCACCAGTTTCTCTGGATGCCTCCTCGTAGCTAGCCAAAAGACCAGCTCATAGCCGCCGCCAGCTTTCTTGCTTGAAGACTGGAATAGTTGGGCTGGAACGGAACTTGTTGCAGAAGTACGCTTTGATGGAGCTGGCATATCCAGTAGCGGAACTATACGATATGCGAGCCTTCTGGGGATCACAGTAGTGCCTAGCGTGCTTTGCAAAGTAGGTGAACAGCCGGCCAATATGATCGTCCCACCACTTCATTTCAGCTTCAGTGCCACTGTACTGGATATCCCTGGCAGCTATGAAAGTAGTGCCGCTTTGTCCGCTCGCAACTTGCTGAAGCAATCGAAATGCTTCAGTGCATTATTTTCCTTAACGATGGCACTGTTGCGTTTATCATCCCTCAAGTCCATAAAGAGCTCGTCTTCGGCATCAGCCATTAACCCCAACACTTTGTCATTGTTGCCACCAGTATCATTGAGCGGAATTGGTTCCAAGTAAGCATCATTATTATTAGTAGCAGCTGCCATTCCTACGGTATCCTCTTGTTCAGGCTGTTCTGTTTCCTGTTGTTGGGCATGTTGTGGCAGTGGAAATGCCGCTAGGAAATCAACCATGGTCATGTTGGAGTTATCATTAGAGATGATGGTGGTTGGTGCAATGCCTGGTAGCTAGTAGGTGTTGCCCATCACAGCCATCAGGTGCAACACCATAGGTGCGCCCCTTTTTGAATCTCCTTGTAATGTGGCCAGGGAGGTCCAGCCAAGGAGCCCTCCTGCTGGCTTGCAGGGACTTAGCGGACCAATGCCACATTCTATTAAATTAGCCCTACAGTACCAGGGCTACATGATTTCTACAGGCTACTCACTGAGTAAAAAATTGACTCACAGGTTCAGTCCCTACTCGCTGGCCAACCATACAGTATTGGCATCAGTGAGACAACACCACTCCGAACACTGAAGAAAGTCGAAGAGCCGAAGAAAAGACTTCCAACTTCCAACAACGTCGGAATAGTTCTGATTTTTCATTGGTACAGAAAGTTTCCACGTTGCCCTGCTTTCAAGTTTTACCATAATGTTCCGAGCAAACCAAAAAATGAAGCAAACGACCTCCACACTCACAATCTCACAATTCTCACTTCGAAGCCTTTCGAACTCTCTACCCGCATGGGTGCCCAGAACTCGATCCTTCTCCCTCTTCAAGAGCTCTCATCAGTTGATGTTGCAGAGTATGTAAAGGATTTGAGAAGTACTGGCCCTATGCAGATGCCATCAAAACAGGTGGCATCAATGGAGCATTCCTGGCTGACTTCCTTAACCAAGGAGACCTTTGAAGAGACTTTGGACTCTCTTGAGGTCAACAACCGTCTTCACAGAAGGAAGCTTGAACGAGTTCTCTCCAAGACTTTGTCTGATCAAAAGGATCAGTACTCAAAGTTTGGTTGCCTTACAGACACTGAATGTTCTCTTTTCTCTTTTGACTTGGATGACAGCAGCTCGACACGTCTTTCTTCCCGGACTACTTCCAGAATGTCTGATACTCAAATTCGCCTCCAAGCTGACAACAGGACAACATCCAACACTTCCATCGTGTCATCTGATTCTTCGCAGCGCCGATCCACCCATTCCGAACGGGGGCATCGCAAGACCACTCCTGACATCCCCACTGACATGGCGATGCAGTCAACCTCCAGCACTTCCGCGGCTTCTTCTCAGCGCGGATCCACCCATTCCAGAAGGGGGCATCGCAAGACCACTTTAGATGTCTCCATTGAGATGGTGATGCAGTGTGCATTGGTTGCAAAGGAGATTGATGATCTTGATTCAACTTCACCTCCAATGCTTGTCCCTGCTGTGCTCACCGCTGCCCTTGCAGTACAAGCTGAAGAGAATCACAACCTCCAGCAAGAAATCCTGGAGCTTGAAACAGAGCGTGAGATTCACAGTCCACCTGAAGGTATGGTAGCAATTGTCTTGACAGACATTGAAGGCAGCACCAGCCTGTGGGAATCAAATCCACAAGCCATGAAGGAAGCACCTTCCATGCATGACACCATCCAGCGCGAAACAAGGGAGAAACACCTTGGTTATGAGATTGATACTGGCATGCGTTGTTAAAACTGTGCACCATGCTGCTGTGTGATCCATGTAACATCCTCTGAAGCTCCGACGCAGAAATTCGCTGCTGAGACGTCGCCTTCCGATGATGCTCGACACGGCCAAGGAAAGATCTCCCGCGGATGTTTCCGGTGGTGTGGTCCAGAAAAGTTCCATTCCAAGCCCCCAGAAAGGTCAGTCAGAACTCCGTGCGTACTAAACCTGTCCGGTCAGATAGGCAACGGAGTCAGAGTATCAGTCATGACACAGTTGGTTGGTTTGGAAATCCCACTCACCGCTGAAAAAAAGACCCACTACACGAAAGATTTGAACACTCATATCCACTTACACGTACATACATAATTTATAATAATAATAATAATCATAATTCTATTGCTTACTCTACATCATCTTCCTCTTCTTCTGGTTCAAAATGACCCTCATTCGCTTGGCACCACTTGAGCAGCGATGTTGGTTTTTCCCCGGTGATTTCCTCATAGTCTCCGGCCTTTTTAGTGTTGGTCCATTTGTTGCCTTCGTCAATGCATTTATATATTTCCAGTGTCCCTGTAATGGACCATTCGGGTACATGTGCATCTTCCAACGTTTCCCGATATTGTTCGTAGTCTTCCGGTTCGTGTGTGACTTTGGTGCCAATGGCCTTGGTGATGGCATCGGCTTGTTTTGCCACCGTCACGGAAGGTCCAACGAGGTGGTATATTTTCTCCATGTGTTGGGATGGTTTTGTGATGATGTGTGTCACGGCCGTGGCGACATCTTGCAAGGCAATACACCGGAATGGTTTCTCTGGATCACGTGGATCTTTAAAGGATTGACTGGTGCGAATGGAGGGTGCACAGAGTGGAATCATGGCGTCCATCAATAACGGTAGTCGCAGGATGCAGTATCCAAATGGGAAATACTGTTTGGCGGCCTTTTCCATGTCATCATAATTGTCTCCAAAGAATGTCTCTCGCACCGGAGCCATGACGAGACTGATCAAGACCACGAATTTGGTAGCCTTGCACTGATCGGCCGCTTCCAGAGCGTTTTCCGCCCAATCGGCCCGATTGCCCGGAGTGACAATCACCACGCGATCAAACTTTTTGGACTTGAAGGCTTTGAAGAGACTATTCTTGTCGTCCATGTCGGCCTTCATGACGGTCACGTCGTCCATGTCCGGAAAGCGATTTGGATCCGTGACACCGGCGTAGACATCCAGCAATTTCCTCGATGCCAATCCAGGAAGCACGCGCTTGCCGACCAGGCCGTGATCGGCGCTCACCACCATCACTTTGCGTCGATCACTCTCCTTCGGACCATCTTTAGACTTTTTGGAGCCGCCTTTAAAGACCTTCTTGAACATGGTGGTGGGCAGTGGATGGATAGCAACTTCTACTCAATTGGAAGAGCCGAGCTTTTTCTTTTGTCTTTGTGAGAGAGAGGCGAGAGGAGAGAGGAGCTTTGGTCTTTTTGGTCTTGCTTTGGTTGTCAAAGGTCACAGGACATTTATTTCTATCCCTAACTCAGATTTGCGAGAGAAATCCTTTCAGTCATGCTTCCCTTGAAGCCTTCAACCCTGCCACCGGGTGTCAACCAACCACATGGTGTGGTACCGGTACCACTCGAAAAATCAGCATCCGGCGTTGGGCATCACTCTCGATGTTGTTGTGGTGGGCTGATTGATGCTCCTTTACAAAGAAATCTCACCATGAATGATGACTCGGACAGCTCCTTGGAATCCCTTGTGGAGGAGGATCCCAAGGTGATTCGTCAAAAGAGGCTAAGGATTTGGAAGGCCAACCTTGGAGTCTTATGGAGAGTTATTCTCGGTGTTGTGGCTCTGTTCGATTTTCTGTCCACTGTGCTACCTGGAATGCTGCGAGTCAAGACGGAGCATGCCGAAGATGATCATCATCATCGCCACCATCATCATCATGAAACAGACTTGTTGCCCGAGTATCGCTATGAAGCCTTTGGTCATGCCATTCCAACAGAACCATTTGGCAGCATGATTGACTTTTTGGATGATCACAGTGGCCATCTCGGATTTGCGTTTTCCATGCTCTGTTTCATCGAGGCGTTTCTCGATGCCAGCCGCAGTCGACACAGAGCTCTCATGGAACGAGATCGAAAGAGATTGATCCGATCACAGCAGAAACAAAACTTGGATGATAGTAGTGATCACCCCATTGACGTAATCGATGACCTGGCGTATCTGGACGACGACCATGACACTCGAACGGTCTTTTATTGCAAACTATTGCTACAATTGATGCTACTCCCAGTGGGATTTTGGTTGGCATGTGAAGCACTCTTTCTTCGCGGTCAAGTCGTTCTCTGGGGAGATTCCATGGAAGATGGTCGGCTCAACATGGAAGAACTCTTGGACGATGAGTATGACATGGACTCCCTCATCGGTAATGTCAGTCACGAACGAGACATGAACCTTTCCGTAGGATTTGCCTTGCTCCGAATGCTCCTGGAAATGCTGGTTGACTTTTTGAATGTCAAGGGTGTGGTGGCCAAGAAAAAGGTCATGCGCAAGATAGTGGCCACGGTCCGAAAAACTGTAGGTGGTGCTGTGCGCCACCCCCTTCAATTCTACAGGAAGGCTCAGTCCGCTCTGACGGCGCTACGATGGATCAAATACCTTCAGCCCATTCTTGGAAACACCAACAAGCTCATTGGCAATCTAAAAGACCTTGCCAAAAAGTACCGACAACGACAAGAGTTCCTCTTGATGCAAAAGGTGCGACGAAAAATGTTTCGCGAAATGAACACACCCCAACGCAGAGAGTACGCTGCCAGAAAGATTCAGGGGCTATTCCGTGGAAATCAAGCGCGAAAACATATTCGAGCCGTGAAGCTCTTGAGAGGAAATGAGGAAGCCATGGCTGCCCTTCGGCTTCAGGCAATCTTTCGACGAAAGCTCAAGGAAGCGAGAGCACGCATCAAACGGCGCAAAAAAGAACTGAAACAACTGCAGGCAAAGGCAGAGCTAGATCAAGAAAAGAAGGCGGAAAATCAGTCGCTGCGCATGAATGCTCAGGAGAGGCTAAGATTGTATCAACTGGAAGAAGAGGTGAACAAGGAATCCTTAAGGATCCTTCAACGAAGACTTCTTATAAAGCCGGATACACGCTTTGCGGTCACTTGGAGGGTTATATTCTGTGTCTGTGTTGTCTGTGAAATCTCAATGTTGGTGTGTAACCCATTGCTGAAAAAGTACAAAGACCACTCGGGCAACCCTCTAACCGTGCAGAACCAGGTAAAGGAGTTTTTGATCCCATTGCCTGTCTCAGAGCTCAAGGAATGTTCCTGTGAACCACACTCTAGGATTGGTGGTTGGGGAGACAAACTCAAACACCGTTTCCTGCATGACGAGGAGCCTCCACACTGTGATGAGCTCCCATGGTATTGCTTGCATCCCTATTCTACCGCCAGAGCATGGTACAGCAACGCTTTGGAGTTTTTGATTGATGAGTTCCTTCTTGTTATAGGGCTTGTCATGTTCTGGGACGTGCCAATATCATTCTTCACTGGTGATTATGACAAGGATAGTGGCTCTTTAATACCCAAACATTGGTTCCCGCGGTGGGTCCTTCCAGGCCTTGTATTGCAATTCATTGTCAACCCGCACATGAAAGCAACAGGCAAGTTGGTCGGGCGACTCTTTGGCAAAACATTTGAGTTGGGACCGGTCCGTGTCTTCCGATGGAACATGGGTTTCTTCTATCCTTTCTTTTTTGTGCTTCTAGATTTGGGAGAAAGGTACATCTGGATTCCTTTGGTAAAGGACCAGAATAGGCAGACGCTACTTGCACGAGCCAGCTCCACCGTGATGGGCAAGCACAGAGACTTGACAGAGTCAATTCAGCAGCTGAAGGTTTCAGCACAGAAGAAGAAAAATTAGCTTAATCTTGTAATATTTGTATTGCACTACATGTAATACATACGGTTGCGTTCTAGCATCAAAGTAAAAGCTGACAGCATCAACCGATTCCATGGTGCCTTTTATGACAAACTTCGTATAGCAACTGTTTCTGCGAAACCATAGGTTTTATCCCTCCTCTCCCTCTGCATCAGATGCCACGGGATCCCCAACGTGCAAGCTGATGGCCCCCTTACCCAGTTTCACCTCGAGACTGGAAGCACAATGACTGCTGTCCTTGGTGTTGTTATCATCACTGATCAGTGCTTGTGCCACATTGTGATACTCATCCATGGGGGCTCCGTACTTGACCAGGACTTGGTGATTGCACAGAACAATTTCATCCTCCAATTCATCATCATCTTCTTCATCATCATCCTTTTTTGATTTGTTGGTTTTGGGGGGTGTTGTTGTTGCACTAATGTTGGCCGATCTCAGCTTGGCGTTCTGGAGCAAATCCGCCTTGTCATTCCATGCAAATGGTTTGGATTGGTTGTTGCTGTCCTGATTCCACGGAGTTTCCATTTGTTCTACGACGGAATCGTCCAACAATTCGGCATCCAACGGACAGTGATTCAACCAGACATTGACTAACAGAGTGATTCGTTCTTGTGGCATATCGTCGGTTTCCACTTTTTGTCGTTTCGAGGGCGGTTCGTCACCCTCTTTTTTTGTTCCTGCTGCTGCTGACATGGCTTGAAGACTGGGAAAGACATCGGACGGTGCTCCATGCAGCAACCGTCCATCAAACGCCATGTGTTTTCCAATTTTGGGGTAGGATAGCCATACTTTGGAGAAGGAAAGGCCATCCAAATGTTGGACTTTTCCTTGCTGGGGTGTCAAGCAATCGGTGACGACTGTGGGTGCCCCGCAATCGGACAAGTACGTGACGGTACCAACGCGTGGATGCAACAAGAGGCCAGGTGCTTGATCTTCCAACCCATAATCAGCATCGTAGTGCCATCCCACATCATCGTCTTCTTCCTCCTCCTCCTCGTCATCATTATCCTGTTTTTGGTTGTCGTCTGTCTTGGCTTTTGCCTTCTTGTTGCTGTCCTTATCATCCTTATCAGCTCCTCCCAAGACCAGTGTCCACCACTCGGCTCCAGATTCATCGGGCTTGTATTTGATATCCGGTGGGAGCAATTTGGCATGCTGTTGAAAGATCATTTGGACCAATTCCTCCAGAGCACATCTTGGTTTCATTTGGGCGGGTAAAAAGTAGGTGGTACCAGCACTGTAGGAAGCATCGTCCTCGCGTGTTCGTGCCGTAAAGACCTTGTGACAATCCTTGATCAGGGTTGGCAAGCACGAAGGATCCACTTGCAAGGCACTGTCATGAGCCCAGAACGGTCCTCGTGGGAGTTTCATAGTCTCGTCGGTCTCTTCGATCCACCATTGCTGTTTCTTGTCCTTGTTGTCGAGGAGAAGGGCTGGAAAACCATCGCGAATCACCAAATCGTTGCTGCCTGCTTTGGAAGCCGCTTTCTCATCTGCTTCGGCCATTCTTTCAATTGTCTGTCAGCTAGAGTACTCGTGTCTAAAATCCAATGGTGGACCCCAGCTAGCACATAGCTTCTGCCATAAAAGGAGCGATATTGACAAGCAACGGTTGGCTGTTGTTGGGGGCACTTTTTATTTTCGAATGTTCTGGATATTGGGGACTGAAACTGAGCAGCGGGTTTCAACTTCAATGACGTTTTTCACATCATCCCACACTACCGGTATGTCTTCACCTCCATCTCATTGTCCTTGTCTTTCCGTGGTGCGCTTCACAGTTGCTTCTTCTGTTCTGCACGGACCACGACAATGAAATACCATGCTCTAAGTTATCCTGCCATTGTTACCACAGCATGGCTAGTAGTAGTATGCTGCTTGTTACCGGCGGCGACTGCGTTTCGTCCGGTGGCAACATTTTCGAGTTCCTTTGTCTGCTGCCGCCAAAGGCCCATTTTGCGCATCCAGCCGCCGCGACACCGTCGTAGCAGTACTAACAACCAGCTGATGATGCGAGATGTTTCGGCCAGCTACTGGTTTCAAGTGGGTGACACGGTCCGAGTCGTTGCCGATGACGTCAAAAAAGCCGGGGTCAATCTGCACAATCGAATGGGCACGGTAGTGGAAACATGGGAAAAATGCGACGTGGACCCGACCTGCTGTTGTGCCGAACAAGTCGATATCAACATGGCGGTACGAGTCGAGTTTCCAGGAACTGAGGCAGATCCAAGTGCTGGCACCGATGACTCTTTCTTTTTCTATTTTGCCGAGGAAGAACTGATCAAGGTGACCGAAACTGTAGCAACAACACCAACAAAAGAGGACGACACAATCGCAATGGCAGCAACCAAACCGCCATCGCATTCCTCACTTGGTCTGGGTCGCACTGTGACACACAAGTTCAGAATAGGTCGTCTTCAAGCTACGCCACAACAACCAACCCATTGGCTGGGCAACTGGGAACCTGTCTCCAGACCAGAAGATGATGCTGCTACAAAGAATGGTATGCAATCTGGTTCGGATCCCAACAATCAACTTCCATTTGATGGAATGAGCTGCACAGCCTTCAAATTGGATCACTTACAATCTACAGGTAGCCAACAACCGAGAGGGCTTGCAAGCTGGGAACCAACTGCCCAGAAGCAGCAGCAGGAGAATGATGCTACTGTTTCCAGCTCAGCACCATTTGATGGAATGAGCTGCACAGCCTTCAAATTGGATCACTTACAAGCTGCAGGTAGCCAACAACCAAGAGGGCTTGCAAAATTTGTACCAGTCTCCAAGCTACCAGAGGATGTTGCTTCGGGTGTGGGTGACAGCATTCAATCCGCTTCTACTAGTAGTACGAACAATCAAGTTCCTTTTGATGGAATGAGCTGCACAGCCTTCAAACTGGATCATCTGCAATCTGCAAGTAGTCAACAACCAAGAGGACTTGCAAAGTGGGAGCCTGTCTCAGATCCACAAAATAGTCACTGACAGCGAAGCTCCGAAATCAAGATACTCTAGATCTACTGCACTGGTACGGTACTCACAGTTCACGAGAGACCTGTGGACGTCCTGAAACTAATGGATACAGTACCAAGTGGTCGATTATTGTTTGTTTGGTTTAGTTATTCCTATGTTTTACATGCACTTACGTATCTGAGATGATTTGAAGTTGTCTTTTCTACGGTTGTTCAAGTACCGGTACCTGAGAATGAATGTTTCCAAAGTAATTTGTTCGTCTTCCTGTTTTGTTTTCTGTTGTTCACTGTTTCGTCGCGTCACTTTATCAGGAGCGTACCGGAAATCAGCCAGCATTTGCCCCTATTAGTCTATAACTTTCTCCTGGTTAGATCTAGCTAGTCCGAGCACAACTTGTAGCAGAAGAGACCACGCTTCTTGGCAGGGACCTGTTTGATGCGTCGGAGCGCTTTCAAAACAGCCAGGACCGTGCGGGCGGTGCCTTCACCCGCCAAGAAGAACTTGCAGGAGTGGCGCAACTCCTCTTCCGTCACAACCAGATTTTGAAGGAGTTCGGCTTCATCCCCATGTTCGTTTGCCGTGGCTTGGTAACGAGCCAACACCACCTGACGAGATTCTTCGAGGACTTGGTGCTGTCGGTGTACCTTGAGGGCCTTCTTGTGGAAACACTTTTCAATATTGTCCAATGCCTCGTTAATTACAGAAAGCTGGACACGTCCACGAGTGGTTCGAGGGACACTCTCCAGTTCTTCCACCGTCACTGCGTCGAAATAGCATGAGAGGCCTTCAATGTGGGCGTGGGTTTCCTGAGACGAGTTGCTGTTCAAGGTGGCAGATGAGGAATTGGAAAAGGGCTCACGCTGCGCCGCAGAAGAAGACTTCGATTGGTGGTTCTTGCTGCGCTGATCACCCTTGATGGGTTTGGAAACAGCTCTGGAGGAGCGACCCTTGCTGTTTTGTGGCGCATTCTCATCCACGCCATGGTTTCCTCGCTTGCTGCTGGTGTTGTTCTGAGCAGCATTATTATTGGCGGGCGCCAAAGCACCAGTGCCCCCCATATTGCGGCATCGATCCACCAAGTATTTCAAGTTGTCATTTTGTTCCAACGAGTCGGTGTGTAACATGTTCAAGTTTTCGAGAGCACGCTGCTCTTCGGCCACGATTTGTCTCAACACGGTCACTTTCTTCTCGACGGCTGTGACGACATCATCCAAGTCGCAGAGAGATTCCAAGAATTCTTCCCGTTGGATGTCTTCATCTTCGGCATTGTTCTGTTGATCATGGAGGATCTCCTTCCAGGTTGTCAGGTGTTTGAGAGCCGAAACATCCGCGGCCAGAGCCGTGATGGTGGTGGAGAAGAGCTGAGAGACACGCTCAGCACTTTCTTCGAGATTGGCGGAGGAAGAAGGATTGGCATGGGATGGTTGGCTATCCCATGAACTACTGCTGACCAACTTGGTCAAGGGAGAACTAGTTGTCATGGTGGTGGTGTTCAACAAAACAAAAGAAAGGAGGTGGAAATGCAAGAAGAAAGGTTTGGAGGAGGGAAAATAAATGAGAAATGAGACTTCAGCGAAAGCAGATTGATGCGAAGGTATCCGTTTGATTTACTGTCCCTAAATCTCTGAGTCGAGTGACTCAGTCGTTTAACCGCTTCCACCCGAAAGAAAGAACGCACAATGGCTCTAATTGCCCTCAACGGACTGAGGGTCTTTCACACTTTTATCGCTGTATGTGTGTGTGTGTAGGTGTGTGTACGTTGAGTGTTGTGTGAGATGTGTGATGTTGTGTGAGATGTGTGTAGACACTACTAAGAGTTAATCTACGACGAATCTACCATTGGATGTTTATCCATGGGGTATACCGTTGCTTGCTGATTTCAAATTCTGGCTTAGAATTTCGCTGTTTGCTTCATCAGTGGAGCAAGCTGGGGTGTGGCAAAAGATACAAGCCGGTAGCTGTGAGAAAAGCAAGGTTACCCTGTTTGTGGTGATTCGAAAATAGACACATAGGAGCTGGTACGGTATGACCGAGACCAAGCTAAACTAAACCGTAAATCCAATACCTCGTTGGGCTGGATGTGTGTGTGTGGGTGTGTGTGTAGGTGTGTGGGTGTGGGTGGTGGCTATGGCTCCCCGACAAGCCTCTAATCCAGAAAGATGAGAGGGGGAGCCATCTAGTTCTGGAACCTTCCTTAGGACAGTAGGTTGCCAAGATTGGGGGGGCTGGAGTAGGCTAAAATCATCCTATCCAGTCCCATTCGGCATGTTGCCTCGCATGGGCCCACTGTGTGTGGGATCCGGACATGCTTGAAGGGCATCAGGTTCGTGGGATTGGCAATGCAATCCCTCCAGCCTTGCTGGAAGACCTTTGATGGGGGATCCTTGGGATGGTATTCCAGGTGGCAGCAGCTGGATTCCCATGGTGTCCCTCTTGTTGATGTTGGGCTGGGGCCAGTGTAGGCCCATTGCCCTGGTGATTGCTGCTTCAAAAAGGGGCCTAAGTGTGGTGGCTTGGTAGCCCCTGGCCAGGAGCCTCTTGAAGAAGAGCTTGGTCCTGGCGAGCCTGCTCAGTCTCCTCAGACAGATGTATAGATCCTAAAGAGGTTGCCATACACCACTCCAGACAGGAGGGCTGGTGGGTGACAGGAGTGGGATGGGATGTAAAGATACAAGTTGGTTGGTTTCTCATACAGTGTTGGTGACCAGTTTGTTGTCATGATGTGAGGGTGATTGTCATGTACCATGAAATCCACCTGACTGGAGAGTTCAGTGAACTCCCAAGTGCAGCTTGTACTCATTGTTGTTCATTGCCTTTTGGAAGCCCCTCCCACAGAGAGCTGGTTGTCTTCCATTCGGCAGTGCCATATGCCGAAGACATCATCGATGTATCTCCTGTAGAGCGCAGAACTGCAAGACTATCCATGAAGGATCGAAGCAGAATGGACTCCAGGATGGCAAAGTAGATGGTGGGCATAGGGTGGGGCTGGTGGGGCTCC